TGTGACTTTAATTGGACTGCCTTCATAATTCATTGCCTCTGCTTCAACAATGTGCAATTCATCCTTTGCACCAGCTCCTAAACTGACCGTTCTTAAAGATAACTGGTGCTCATTTTCATCATTATCCACCTTAAAGTGATAATCCTTGTCAGCCTTTAGTTCACAACCGAAAAGATAGTTCTGGGGCCTCAGGAGGCTCATGTCCATGTCCATCGAATCTTCCATGGGGTGCTGGCATGCACTTAGGTGGAAGAGAAGGCGGACGGAGATAAACGACTACTGTTCCACACAATGGTCGCGCAGGACGGAATCACACCAGAGCGCCCCTATACTTTTAAAAGCTAGTTCAAAGTCCGTTCTCATCCCTACTTTATTCTCTCTGAGGGCAGGAATGTGTTTTTCTGTTTTTCCTTGTACCTGAGCCTAGGACAGCCCTGGGCTCAAAGTATGTAGATCCATAAGCATGTTTTTTTTTTTTAACTCTTATTTTGAGATAATTGTACATTTACATGCAATTCTAAGAAATAATACAGAGAGCCCATATACTCTTCACATAGCTGGTAATATTTGGTGTTACCAATGGTAACATCTTACATATAACCATAGTACAATATCACAACCACGAAATTGACGTCAATATAATCGACTGACCTAAATCAGATTTCATTAGTTTTATTTGTGTATGTGACCCATAAGTATTTTTAAGATGAATATAAAACACTTTCTGCACACTGATCAAAGTCTAGGAAAAAAATGAAGTCAACTCAAACACATGGTTTCCCCTCCTTATGCTTTTTCTCCTCTGATTCAGTGGCACACCATATATGATTTTCTAGTTATCAAGAAAAGCAAATGCCTCTTTATCCAATGACTTTGTGACCTTTCATCCACACAGTAGAGCCTTTTGCAATCTGTGTGATCAGGCAGTAGTAAAATAAAAATGTGGAAAATGTGAAAATCTAATAATACATCTCACCATCTTCTGGGTTAACCTCATTTATTACACAAACACACACACACACACACACACAGCTGAGCCCTTGCTAGATAGGAGGCATCCTGCTAAGTGCTCCACATGTTTACATTTACATTATAACTCTTAACCTCAACTCTGTGAGGAAGGTACAGTTACTATTACCATGACCATTATATAGAGGAGGAAGCTAAGGAACAGAGAGGCTAAGTAGCTTGCTTAATCTTAGTGTTTTAAAATTAATATTATTGTCATCATCATCATCATCATCATCATCCTATCACCGAGGCACTGCCCTCATCTTAGATGAGGGAACTTGAACATCTACATATAAAAAGGGAATACTTGGAATATGTTTGCTTGAAAAGCAAATTATGAACAATAAATCACAACAGCTTTTTCTCCCCAATCTGGATCCTGTTATATTAAATTTTTCCAAAGTCAAAACTAACCTCTGATATTAGAAGTCAGGAGTAATTGTCATGACTGAGAGAAGTTACAATGGTTACCAGGAAAATTCTCGGATGCCTGGGATATTGTTTCATGATCGAGTACGTGAGTGTGTTCATGTTATGAAAACACGTAACTTATGATTTAGGTATTTTTCTGCATGTATGTGGTTCTTCAATAAAATATTTACCTAAAAAAATGTTCAGCGAAGAATTTTTACTCTTCTAAATAATACAGGCATCACAGAGGAACATGATAAAACTAAAATCTTTCCCCTTTAAGTGTTAAAACTGGATTTTTAAACCTTTCACATTTACTCAAATGATTTTAGATTGGTTGCACACTAGCTTTCCTTCTCCAGCAGGAGTAGCATGAATGGAACACAAGTCAATCTTTTACTGTGGATTTGGGATTACCAATAAAACATATTGTCCTATTACCAGAGGAGAAAGCCCTTAGGGGCCTCAGGCAGGAGAGGGGCTTGCTTCTGATTCACATGAGCCCAGGCAATTAAGGTTTTTCAGTCCCTGGGTCTAGTTTAGAGTTCTTCAATCTCCTTTTTTAGTTTCTTCCTCAGGTTAGGGTGCTTACCTTCCCTCCATCATCCTGTATTATCTTTTATTCCTACCAGATTTAAGTTCTAGTTTATAAATCTTTATGTTGGCAAAAATCGGAACATCTGTTAAATCAGGGTGATGAACACATGGGGATCTGTTATGTTACTTTCTGTATGATTGAAAGGGTTCCTAATTGTTTTAAAGTTAAACCAACATCTTTGTAAACTCAGAAACCTAATATCGAATTAATCTCTACTAAGTAGGCAGCCTGTGGAAATTGGAGAGGCTCTCATGTGAGTGAGGCACAGAGTTTTCTGCCTATCCTGGCTATATAGAAGTTCTGCTACATAGTTGACTATCATCAGAATGCTCTCTAGGTAAATGAAGGATAACTGCAAAATGCTGCATTTGCATAAGGTGTTTACATGTTTTAAAAATATATAAGTAACCAAACTATGGTGTACTTCAGGAGAAAAGGGCAATCTTAACAAATCAAACCACATTTCTTAAACAAGAAGCTACTCTCAACAGCTATAAAAACTGCCTGGAGAGCGGAATTTAAATATTTCTTGCTTCTTTGGCTTGGCATTTACCTAGACACCATTCCTGAGGTTCAGCGAGAAGGAAGAAAAAGGTCTCATGAGCCCATGAGGAGGGGAAATGGCATCAAACAGCTACTTGTAACTGAAACAAGGCTTTTCTGTTAGAGGTCCTAGTTAGCAAGACCATTTTCCCCCAGAAAATGAAGGAAAACATGAACACATATATCGAGAAATACATGTTAAATCTTTATAAAAGAAAAAATATTGGTAGTGGAATACGCTGTTGTGATAAACTTAAAAAGAAAGCAAGGAAGAAAAAATAGAAAGAAAGAAAAGGAAAGGAAAAAGGAAATCAACACCTGTGTTTAATTATTTTTTGGACAAATGAAAGTGAAAATACAGTAACTTGAATTTATTTATTAGAAAATTTCTCAGCTCCCCACTGCCTAATCAATTCAGGAATATGTGAAAATATGTACTCTCTAAGATGTAATCTCTAGATTGACACCAGCTTTCGATCCATATAGCATTACAGAACTATCTATATGCAGGTTTGTCTACATGCAGGCAATGCAAATTTAGAATCTGTCAAAGGGTATGTGGAGAGAGGGGCACTTGGAAGGAGAAATGTCCCCAAACATAGAAAACAATTTGACTCTAGTCCTTCTGTGTTTAAATCTTATGATTCATGAAGGTAGGAGCATGTCTATTTTGTTCCTTGCCATATCTCAGCATTTAGCACACAGCCTGGCACACAGGAGGAACTCATTAAGTGTATGTTGAATAAATAAATTTAATAAAGTACAGTAATTTATTCAGTATTCCCCAGCAAATGAGCAGACCCCAGCAAATGAGCAGATCCTCTTTTAAAATGCACGAATCAAAAACTCAAGACAATCTGTACTGCTGATCCAAGTTTTAGCTCATGTAAGACCGAATGGTCCTTTCAAGTAAGGAACAAGGTACTCTACACTTGTGCCCACTAAACAGCTTTACATAAGCTTTAAGTGAACCCCAAAAAACAGTAAGTTATTGTTTGAAGTACACTGTAATTTTAAGACACTTACAAATTCTACTTAAATGTGGGGTACCCATTACACTTTTCTTAACTCTTTGAATAAAGTATTATTTTGACATCCTCAGTATACGTTCTCAGCAATATTATCAACTCATTTCTCCGTGCACCCAAAAATGTACCAGACTGTATCCAAAGACCTCAAGTTTATTTTTATTTTTTTAAAGATTATTTGACAGAGAGAGAGAGCACAAGCAAGGGAAGTGGCAGAGGGAGAG